GCAGAAGGACTGTTAGAGTTAATGAATGACTTAATCATAACAGTCCCATGTCCCAAGGATGTCTGGGTCCAAGACAACACCAAGACAAAACCTGATCTCAATTTCCCCAAATTTGTTTGGGGGATGGGAGGGAGGGGGAAAAGTTGAAATGGAGAGGGAGGGGAGGCCCACACTAAGAGCTCCAAATTTAGGATCTGGAAGAAATCTTAAGGAAGATGGACAGAAAGATGTGGTACACAGAGAGGATGAGAAGCCTGTAAACAGGGTCAAAGAAAAGAACCTTTAACATTGGAGTGGGAAGAAATAAATGGCACAAAGATATATTCAGTCAACAGTTGGGGGAGAATCACAGTTCCCATGACCCACTGGGCCTATACATCAAAGGAGAACCAGATTCTAGCCTTAGAGAGGCTTATAGACATTCCAAAGTGCCCCTTACCACCACTCCCCTCCCCAAGGCATTCTCAAGGATAGCTCCTGAACTGTTACTGCTCTTAGCAACTCTCCCACCATCTTTATGTTCAAACTAAATCCAGAGAGACTCCACTCCCACAGCACTGAAGAGAAAAGCCATAACCTATGGGTTTCATGCTTCATGTGGAAGGTGGTGGAGAAGCTAAAGATCATATACTCTTAACTGTGAAGAAGAATGAGGATAAGCCATCATCTTTTGGCAGTTGATTTAAGTCCCCACCTTTCTTAGAACACACATTTCAAATACAGAACCTGAAGGTTCCTATACACTGTATCCTTATTCTGCACACATTATCCAAGTTTTCTTTCTTTTAGTCTTTCTGACAAAATGTAAGCTCCTTGGGGGCAAGAACAGTTTCATTTATTTTGATATCTCTAGTACTTTGGCACATAGTAGGTGCTTAATAAATGCTAACTGATAGTCATACTTGGCAAAATACTGGGAAACATTAGTATCCTACTTTCCCCAAACTAATCAGTCTGAACCTGATGTCCAAGTAAAGGCGGCCTGTGATTTGGAAGTCTTGGCAAGTTAATTAGTGCTCCTTCCACAAGTCTATGCTAAGGCCTGAAATGCTATCATCAGGGTTTGAAATGCAAATACCTTTGGGAGGAATACCACCTTTCTCAGCTACCTCTGGAGGGGGAGGGAAGTTGGACAAAGTGGGAACAGCACACCTACAGGAATTGGGCCCATAATGGAGAGAGAAGCAAAGGGCCTTAGGGAGGACTCAAAAGACCTACTTCACTCCACAGCCCTTATTTAGATCCAGATTCCAGCAGAGTTGGGGTGTTTGTTGAATCATTTTACTCATATCTGACTCTTCATGTCCCCATTTGGGTTGTTTTTTTGTTTGCTTGTTGGTTGGTTCAGTTGGTTGGTTGGGGTTTTTTTGGCAAAGATACTGGAGTGGTTTGCCATTTCCTTCTCCAGTTCATTTTACAGATGAGGAAACTGAGGGGGGAAAGGTAAGTGACTTGCCCAGTGTCACACAGCTAGTAAGTGTCCGAGGCTGGATTTGAAGTCTGGAAGACTCATCTTCCTGATTGCAAGTCCAGTGCTCTCCACTACGCTACCTAGTTGCCCAGAGCTGGGGCTAGGAGGTGAAATAATAATTTCCAGGGAAATAGAAAATCTATCATTTCAGATCTAAAGGTTTCAAACAAACTAAAGCAAGTAACACATCTCTCTAGGGTCCTTCTCACCAAGGAAGACCAAGCTCATGGGGTGTGAGGAAGGGGAAGTGGGGAGAGAAATGACTGACTCTACATTCCATCCATATTTCTGATTCAGAAACCAAGGATTCACTTCCTCTAGGCTGGCCCCAGCAGTGCCCACCCCACATCTGGAGAAGGTTCTTTATTGGTGGGGAAAAAAAAATAACTTTGTCCATAGGACCCTGAAAAATGTTTTCTAATTCCCTGTGATAGGAAGCCTGGCTGGCTGGCTGGCCCAACCTACCTATCAGCCATAGGAAACTCTGGTGAACAGAAGTAGAAAAAGAAGAGCATTTACAAGGATATAGAAAGCATAAAGCAAAGCTTTGGTGAAAGTGGACGAGCTCCCTCCTTTTGCAGTCAGGCCCAGAGAACTAATTCTCTTTTCCTGATAACAGCCCACCCAAGCTTAATATCTGAACCAACATTACCTATGGAGGGAATATAGAAAATCACAGGTACTTAAGAATGGAAAAATATGAGCTGCAAATGCAGGGCTCTCAACTCACTGCAGGAAGGGATTAGGAGAGTAATGTCTGGACCTAGGCTTAGAAGACCTGAGTTTTGAATCGGCTTTGCCATTAATTAGCTATGGCACTTTGCCTCCCTAAATCTCCTTTTCCTCATATGTAAAATGAAGGAGTTGGATTATTACATACTCTAAGGTTCCTTCTAATTCTCACTTGCTTTCACACTATGAGAGCACAGTAATCCTAGGAATAATTGTCCACGCTTTGTAGTCAGGTAATGGTTCCAGTCTATCCCCCATTCATTAACCTTAGACAGCAATCTAATCCCTGAATTTCATCCCCCTTCGAAGGCCACACAAGAAGAGAGAACGGTGAGCCCCATACACTGAAAAGATTAAAGTGTCCTCACCACCCAGAAATTTATCAGGAGATACAGATACCGATACATAAATACACACACGTGCTCACGCACACACATACACACATTTTTTAATCTTTCCAACTCAGGCAAATACTGACTTGTCTAAAACAAAACATAAGTATTTAGGAGGGGTGGTTCCTGATGCACCATAATACCCTAGGAGGAGGCTGGCTACCCGGGGCGTTTCTGGGCCTTGAAGGGGTAGAAAGGGGTAGCATAGGATGTGCTATAGTGCTTTCTCAAAAGGATGCAAAATATATTTCTTGAATTAAGCAATTTAGGAGATTACTGATGCTGGATTTGGGGCTCCATGACTATAGATCTTTAATCTGGAAGGGACTTCAAAGAGGTGTTTTTTATTCCTATTTTACAGATGAGACAACTGAAGATCAGAGAGGTTAAATGATTTACCCAAGGTCATACAGCCAGTAAGTGAGGGGCAGGATACTAGAATCTAAGGTTTCCTCCTTCCAAGGACAGTGATCTTTCCACCATACCAGGATAGCAGAAGATTGAGGGCAGCTTGGTATAGTGGACTGGACTCATAGTTGGAAAGACCTGGTTTCAAATTCTTCTTCAGACACTTGCCAGTAGTATGATCCTGGCTGGTCATTTAATCTCTCTTGACCTTGGTTTTTCATTTGTAAAATTAGGGGTTGGATTTAATGGCCTTTAAGCTCTAAATTTATGATCCTATGAATCATGACTTGGGAGGGACCTCAGAGGCTACTTAATCCTAACCATATGAGAATCACTACCTAACAAGTCATCCAGCCTTTGGTCAAAGTGCGGAGGAACCCACCACCACCCACGGCAGCCTGTTTGACTTTTATACAGCTCTAATTGTTAGAAGGTTTTTCTTACATTAAATCTAAACGTGCTCTCTACAACTTCTGCCTCTTGTCCTCTAGCTCTGCCCCTCGAGGCCCAAGCTGGTCAAGTCTGATCACTCTTCCAGGTAACAGCTCTTCACATATTTGAAGCCAGCTGTCATATCCCTCCCCTCCCTACACCCCCAAAGTCTTCTCCAGACTAAACATCCCTAGAGTCTCCCAATCCTCCTATGGCATGTGCCTAAGTCTCTTTGCCATCCTAGTCTCCCACCCCTGGATGCTCCCCAATTTTTTAACGTCCTTCCTAAAATGTAGTGCCCAGAACTGACCATGGTTTTCCAAATGTGGCTTGACCACAAGCACCATGACTTCCCAAATCTGGAAAAAAGATTCTTCCTGCATAGAAAAGCCATGCCTGGAGGTCTTTCCTGTCTCATCTCCACCTGCTGGCCTCCCTGGATTCCTTCCAGTCTCAGCTAATGTCCCACCTTCTACAAGAAGCCTTTCCCAGTTCTCCTTATCTTAGTACCTTCCCTCTGAGATTTTCCACAATTTATCTTGTAGATAGCTTGCTTGTACACAGTTGTTTGCATGTTGTATTTCCCTAAGACTGTTAACTCCCAGAAAGCATTTCGCCTTTCTTTATATCCTCAGCACTTAGCACAGTGCCTGGCACACAGTAGATGCTTGATAAATGCTTGTTGACTTGGCTTGCCTTTAGATTACAGGAGTTTCATAAGGATGTTCCACTTTTCACATTTGTGAGCACCCCTTAGGCAGCAGCCTACAAGTACTAAACTGCCTTGCCCAGAGGACCTGGCACAATGTGAAATGATGATATCTGTTTTCCTTCCATCCCAATTCTTTCAGAGGAAGGCACTATAAGGACAGACCCTCTTCAGTGGCTTTCTGAATTAAGATTCTCAGATAGAACCCAACTTTCTGATACTTAATGGGACATGCTCACATCTGCAGGTTAGGAAGACATTACATCTCTAAATATAACAGAGATCTAGTAGATCTTTAATCCTATCCCCAGCGTCTCTTCTCTGTGATAAGAGCAACAGTGGACTTTATGGATGGGGGAGGTAAGCAAGTGTGGTCACCTGGTGAAAAAACAACTGTTAACTGGTCATCTCCCTCCACTAGCACAAGAGCCCCGGGCTTAAAACTGGGAGGTAAAACAAATTCAACAAAGGATTGACTAGTCCTTCCTTCTGAACATTAAGCTGTGTCCTTAAGACATGGTAGGTTAAAGAAAAAAGGACTTTGCTACAAATAACAGAATTCTAGAGTTGGAAGGATCTCAGCCAACCATCTAGTCCAATCCATCTGCAAAAAAGAATTGTGAAAATGTATACTACGGTATACTCAAAAAACAATCATATAGCTCATAGAAGCTTCTCCTAAAGGCAAGGAGAATACCTTTCAAGGCATCCCATTCCACTTTTATTGTTGCTCAGTTGTTTCTGACTCTTTGGGATCCCATTTGGGATTTTCTTGCAGAGATACTGGAGTGGTTTGCCATTTCCTTCTCCAGCTCATTTTACAGATGAGGAAACTAAGGCAAACAGGGTGAAGTGACTTGCCCAGGGTCACACAGCTAGTAAGAGTCTGAGGCCACATTTGAACTCAGGTCTTCCTGCCTCTAGGCCCTTTGTTCTATCCATTGCCCCCTAGCTGTCACTTTGGGATAGCTCTAATTGTTAGGAATTTTTTCCTGATAAGAATGGCCAAAGGTCTAACCCAAGCTAGTAAAGGAATTAAGGAGGTAGGTAGTGCTACGAGGGAGAAAGACTACTGGATTTGGAGTCAGAGGACCTGGATTCAAATCTTACCTTTGCCACCACTTACTGCTTACATGACCTTGTGGCACATCTAAACCTCTCTAAGCCTCAGTTTATCTGTAAAATGAGGGAACTGGGTTAGATGACCTCTTTAGTCCCTCTCAGCAATACATCTAGGACATGCTACCAGATCCACTCTACCAAGAATTCTCCTTATGCCAAATCTGGATGGAATTCAAACTAGGGGGAAAAAAACCAGGCTTCCAGAGTCAAAAGGCCAACACTTCAAAAGTGACATCTTTTATTTCTTGCGTTGCTAACAACCCCTCCCCACCTCCATTTCCTTCTCTCTAAGACAAAGATGAGGATGATGGGCCAACCTCACCGATTATTGGTTGGGATGAGTAAAGGATGACTTTTCAGAAGTGGCTAAGCACTCTGAAAACATTCAAATGCCTCAGAAAAGCTCACGCCTGGCACTGACTCCCACTGGCTATGTCACGAGCCCCTTCGAATCAGTTTTCTTCTAGAATCTCAGAAAGGAGTAACACAAACCAACTCAGAGTCAAGGGGATGAAAGACATGTTGTACAAATCTCGCTCCTCCACACCTCAGCCGGTAATACAGGAAGCTTCTTTCTGGAACTGGCATCACTTCTCAGCGGAAAATTAATCTCTTCCTGCCAAGGAGCCCAAAGTGCTTGATCAATATTGCCTTGTGAGCTCTCACACCCTAGGTTTTGGGAAGAAGGCTGGTGATGTCTTTTCAAAAGGTGCTAAGGGATTCAGCCAAGGTCACAAGGTAAGTAAGCGTCAGAATAAGGAAGAGCCTGGAACTTTATCTCCTCCTGCTCCTCTGCGGTCTAGGCTCTAGAGAACAGATGCCTTTTATCATTTTTTCTTTGCTTGAATACTCAGATGTGAATATCTCTCCCTTTCCACCAGCAAACACATCCCACTTTCAAGGAAACTGGAAAAAAAAAACCTTTTAAAAAATCAGAGCTGTTTCTCAACAGATGCTTCAAGGCCTGCAATTGAATCTCACATAAAGGAGGGAGTCGAGAGAGGACCGTGGGGGTGAAAAATGCCTACAATTAAAAAAGTATCCTTCCAAGCTATTTGAGTAGACTTACAAGGTAGTATGAAAGGCAACTCAGACGCCCAGCAGCTGGCTAGCCTCTCAAAGAAGTAGATGAGAACTGTATCTGAGTCAGTGATGTGAGCAGGAAACTTAGGAAATAAATATTTTCTGACACCACATTCCATGTGGTTTAACACATTGCATAGTGTGAAGGACTAGGGTCCCTAGGCGGCACTAGGGAAGGTCAACTATTCTCAGTGAAAGTAGTTTGACCCACAGCTTTGAGGTCAGCTCCTGCTCAGAACCATGGAGAGCGTGAAGCTAAATAGGAAATACCAACTAACAGATCATTCCCAGCTGGCTTCTGACCCGATGTCCCCAGCAGAAGTTGGGTAGCCTCCTAGCCCAGGGATGACAGGCCAAGGTGTGAGGATAATAATGACTCCTTCCACTGCCTTGCCATGGGCTGGCATGATGGGAAGACAATGAGGTAGGGCAGAGGTCACCTGCCCCTGGTACAGAAGAGAAGCAGGGAGCTGGGTTCGCTGGGCCAGAGGTAAAACATCATTGTGAAAATTCACTATCTTTATGGGACTAAAGCAGCACTCTCTGGGTCTGACCAAGAAGCTTCCCTCTCTGCTCTTCTTATAGGAGGTTCTGTTCATCCATGCAGAAGGGAAGGAACCTTCTAGAAGACTGAACACCATCCCAACTCCAGGCTCAGGGATGTCTCAGCAGAGGCTGAGTTACAGATGGATTTCACTCAGTTCATAACATGACAGAGAAACAGATTGGGAGATGGGGAGGAGGTGGTTGAAGAAAGAGATGGAAGAGACCTTAAGTTGAAGTTCATTATTCAAGTAAATAAATAAATTTCATAAATGTCAGAACTGCTATCAGTTTTTTTTCTTTCTTCATGTTAGGAAGATTGGGCAGTGCTTGAAAGAGCCTTGCTGCTCCCCCATGGTCCAAAGCCCAGTAGGTCAAGAGGCCACAGTATATGGAGGAGAGAAGGCGCAGAAAAACTCTGGCCAATTTTTAGGTACGTTAGGGACATCCTATGCCTTTACACATCCTGTCACTGAGTTATTACGATGTCCCTTTTAGGGAGGGGTTTCACAACCTCATTTTACAGACACGGAAAACTGGAGTGAAGTGACTTGCTGAAGGTTATAAGAGTGGTTGCCTGAACTAAGAGAGTAACTCCAAAATCTTGATTCCCAATCCCTAGGTTTCACTGCTGGATGCCCCTTCTGCTAAAATTTATGAGAAAACCTCTTAGGGTTTGAGAGATTGTTACTAACCACACAGGAAGGCTTGAAGTTACTGGTCCCTGGAGAAGAGAGAGTAAAGAATAAGGGGAAAGGACATAAGAGAAAAATCAGAGTATAATAGGGCCATCCCATGGAGAGTACACAGAGCTGCCTGCCTGCTTTCACCAGGTCCTTCAGCACTGAGTCACATACAATCAGCCAGAAATAACAAGGGGCTTTGGCATCCCCAAAGCATTCAAGTCTGTCAATGCTGACCTCGCAAATGTAGTTGGCAAGAAGTAAGTAGTACAGCTATGTGTATACTCCATGGGGAGGCCCCATTACACAAGAAAAGGGCCAGACACAAGACTGTCTCTAGCACCTACGGTGGCACCAATGAAGGACCAAGAACCCACCCATGGGCTAGGTAAGGGTTTTTCTAGCAACATGATTTGGCCATACACCAACCACAGGGAGGTCAGTGCCTTTACTGTGTGATATTCTCCATCCTTCACTGAGTCTTGCTAAAAGAAGCCAGAACATAGACTCTTCACTATAACTCAACTATATTTCCCTATCCCTCCCCCATCCCCACCCCCAGTCCCATGGAGGTGGATCAATGTGCCACCTCTAGGCTCAAATAAATAGATTAGGCAAGTAGAATGGTGGCCGGGGGAGGGGGAGAATGGTAGGTCCATCAAGTCATATGCCTTTATCACCCTGCCCCCAACCATTCCTGACAGCATGAGATACTGCCAACCTTAGGTCTTATAATGACCTTGAACTGGGTTCAAGGACAAGGATCGGGGTAGAGAGTAGCAGACTGGTGTTTGTAACCACAGAACTCTGGAATGACCGAGAGACTCTGGAACAGACCCTGGGCATGCCCTACTTAACAGTGCTGGAGGACAGTGGACAGGTTTGGCTGCAACTGGGTTGCCATGCCATGGCCCAAGGATGAGGAATACTACTGAGCTGGAAGGTCATTCACACACCTCCCCCTTCCCACACACACACACACACTCAGAGCTGACAGGCTACATCAATGGTGGTGGTTCTAAACAGGAGAGCTCACTGTTGCCTCTGGAGCAGCTGCCCTCCACACCTCTTCTGTCTTCAAAGTGCATTATCAGTGCAAGAAGTAGGACTGGATTTTGGGGTGCCACTTGGTGGGAGACACGCCCTAGCCAGGTCCTCCCAGGTACTCTCTTCCCTTTGGCCCAGACCTCTACCCCCACCCTAGATTCCTCTCATGCTAAGACCAAAACTCTTGATGAACCTCATAGGTAGTAGATCTGTGTGTGTTCAGTTCAGATCTACACAGTGGAACAGTGCTGTCCTGGCTCTGTCCCTCTGCATCCAGGTCCAAAAGGGCCTGTTCAGCAGGAGGAGGGTGCCCTGCCTGAAACGGGAGCAAGGCAGGAAGCCCTGGCCGCTCCTCCACAGTGCTACTGCTGCTTGCAAAGCAGGAGTCTAGGTTGCTGGGTGTCTCTGTGCTCGAGCTGTTGGCGGGGGAGGCGCTGCGGGCATGGCTTGGGGACACAAACCACCAAGGGTCCAGCCGCTGCCGGTTGGCAGAAGGGCGGGGCCGGGGAAGAAACTCCAGAGTTTTAGGCCTTTCCAGTGTGGAGTCCTGATGGGTGTTCCACCGTCTTGGAGTTGGGGGAAAGACCAGATTGGGGTCTGGCAGGCGAGGCACCTCTCCAGGATCTCGGCTGGGGCTCGGAGTCTTCAGCATCCCTGGACAAGGGGAAGAAAAAGCCACAACAACTAGTTGAAGACCAGGGTACCATGCATTGGGAGTCAACAGTTAGGGACGGTGAAGGAGTGCATAAGAGTATAATGGGTCTTGGGGGTGGAGGGTGTCAACCAGAAAAGAGTTGAAAAATGACCCAAAAGTAATTCCAGCCAATGGCAGGATTCTTAGCCCTTCTGCCCACTCACTCAGTAACTAGAGTGCTTAGGGTGACCAACAGGAGATTGGAAGGAAAAGCGGTAGGGTGATGTACAGTTATCCTTCCACATTGCAGGGTTTAGGGACCCAGTGCCCCTGTGATCTGGAAAACCCACATCAAATTTTTTGACCTTCCCTTCACACCAGAGAAGAAGTTTGAATTTTTTTTCTTTCTCTTTTATGGGGTATTTACAGTACCTTATTGTAAAATTTGGGTATATTTATGGCATTAAAAGATAAAATATATTGATATTTATACAATACTATACATGTATTTTATGCATTTCTTAGTTTCTAAACTTTTTCTGTGTCATCTGCTGGCCTTCATATATTATCTGTGGCTTCCACAAAATTCCCAAAATATTTCCATTTAATTTCTTATGCCAACCCATGATACACTGAAACCCTTAATGGGGAAAATCCCAATGTAGAAGGGATAATTGTATAAGAAGAATATCAGAGTTCAGATACTTAACACATTGGTTCGCTAACACAGATGTTAGCAGGTGAGTCTCTGTAAAAAGAAGGCTGAGAGGAAGAACAGAGGATAAAAGCTGGTGGTAACCTACCCCTATGTATGGAAAGATATGTCTATACATGTTCAAGCAGATGTCAATGAGGAGTTATAGGGTATGTGTGGGGAGGATGTGCATGAATGGGTATGGATCTAGCCACTAAAAGGTCATCTGAGTCAACACTATAATGAGATGCAGAAGCCTAGCACATGATGGGAAATAGCCCTCACAGTCACTACAGGAACTTTGAGTATTTGAGTTTTTAAACTCAAATTCCTCAAAACTCTGGCAATAACCAGAAACTAGACTTAGATACATTCTGCCCTACACATTATATAGACCATGATAAAGTCTCCATATGGGTCCTGTGTTTAATTCTTCTTAGGCCCCAGGAAATTTCACTTCAACCCAATACCCAAATTGGGAGATACTCTTGGGACATAGGGTAGGCACTGCTTAATCGAAGCAAGGATAAATCCCTGAATTTCCCTAAGACCTCACCTCCAGCCCTTCTTCAACAATTGAACAGAAGATTGCCTTGGAAAAAGGGAAACTTTGTTCATTCACAGAGCATGCCACAGGAAAGAGGAGAAAGGGAGAGAAGGCATGGGGGAGGTGGTGGCGGTAAGGCTCACCTGCACCTGGTGTGGTACTCAGCCCATTACTAGAAGGGCTGCCATTGGCCAGGGGTGCCACTGGCTTAAGTGCCCCATCGGAAGGAGTCCGTCTGTGACCGGTGGCTGTGTGGGAGCAGAGAGGGTGACATGGGTGGGAGTCAAGGACTGGTTGGGATCTCGCTTGAAACGTTCAACTTGGACATTGACCAGTGGGTTGTTGGTGCGAGGGGGCAAGGGAGCTGCCTCCACTGGACTGACTGGCATCTCATACACCACAATCTCGTCGCTGTCTGATCGAAGGAGGGACCGAGTAGAGTTGCACTCAGAGATGGAGGACAAAGAAAGCAGTGTCAGAGAAGCCGAGGGGTCCCCCAGGAACAGCACTGGCTCCTCCTTCTTGAACAGTTTGCGGGAAGGGGGGCTGGTACTCCGGCGGGGGCGGCCGGCCCTCTGGAAGAGGCCTTCACGCCTCTTCTTCTCCTCTCGGGGTGGCAGCTCGGGCTCTTCTGGGGGCAGCAGCTGGCACTTTCCTGCCTCCAGCAGGTCAAACCCTAGGCCTGTGGCAGCCAGTACGGCCCCACAACCCAGGAGAGCCACCTCACAGCGGCGATGCTGGGTTCCTCCTCGCTTGAGGCTGTTGGTGGGTGTTAACTGTGGGGTGCTGGTAGCTGAGTTCACTGGGGTGGGCTCCTCATGGGCTCCATCAATGGGTGGGCCATCCACCTCCTCGTTTCGAGGGAACGGAATGCAGAGGTAAGACTGGTTGGAGGAATGGATTGCTCGGCTCTCCCCACTCCTCAGGCCTTCGATTTCTTCATCCTCTGTGGGGTTGGGGAGGGGGTGATGGATGAGAGGCAAAAAACAAGACCAAATTGACTGGGCTGGAAGCTTAACTCCCTCCCTCTCTCCTGGCCTAGTTGAGTAACAGTCAGTGATACTCAAAAGAAATCAGGCGGGAAAAAACCAGTACAGTCTGGTGGTTGCCACAAAAAAAAAAATAGGTATTGGACCACTAAGCAATCTCCCTAACGTCTTCCAATGACTGACATAGGAAAATTACTACTCCTCTTAGCACATCATCTTTTCCATCCCCCTAAAAGGGAGACTAGCCAACTTGTTACCTCCTTCCCTACGGACTTTTCACATGAACTAGGAAAAAAATAGCAGGTCACAACAGGCCAAGGGATGGGGATCACCCGATGTCAGATTAAGTTGAATTAGGAGCCAAGGACTGACTGGATATAGATTCACAAGTCTACAAAGAGCCCAGCAAAGAAGCTACATTATGCCTGAAGGAACTTCTTAAGCAACCCATGAAGGAGAGAAAAGGGCACCTAGCACTCTTTCCCCTTTCCATTAGATTATAAGCTCCTTAAGGGCAGGGACTGCCTTTCTTTTTCCTGTTGCATCCCTAACACTTAGCACAGTGCCTGGCACATAGCAGGTGCTTAATACATGTTTACTGAATTGAAGTGAATGGAATTTGACTCTTTGGCACCCTCCTACCTATGGGAAGGGAATGCTCTTGGGATCTGGGTAGTGGATAGAGTTACAGAGTCAGGAAGACCTAAGTTCAAATCCTGTCTTGAACACTTGCTAGCTATGTGAGCCTGGCCATTTAACCTCTCTGAGCCTCAATTTCTTCATTAAAAAATGGGTATAATAATAGTACCCATATTCCAGGGGTGTTTTAAGACTCAAATAGATAATGTTTGGAAAGCAATTTGCATACCTTAAAGCAGGATGTAAATGTGATCTGGGGGAAATACTTATTATTTATCATTCATTAATATTGTTTGAACCTAGCCTTATGTGGCTAGAAATTGTTTCACCCAAAAGTTTACTGTAATGGCCAAGCTGACCTCAGAGACTCATCAAGAAAGCTAGATGTCTGCATGGAATGCTTAGATTCCACTTAGGTCTAGGTTCCACTCAGTGCTTGTGTTCTGGATTCCTCAAATCTGAATGTTTATGCTTTTATCTCAATCTACCTTACTTTGAATGTTTATGCTTACTGATATCTATCTCAATGGACCTTTGCCTAAGAATAGTCCTCTGGCATGCTTGTCTGAACCCTAGATGAGGTTTACATCTATCATTATTAATATTGTTATGCTAATCCAAGGAGCAGCTAGATAGCACAGTGGATAGAAGGGAGTCAGGAAGACCTGAGTTCAAGTCCAGTTTCAGACACTTACTAGCTGTGTGACTCTGGGCAAGTCACTTAACCCTGTTTGTCTCAGTTTCCTCACCTGTAAAATGAGGGGGAGAAGGAAATAGCAAACTGCTCCAGTAACTCTGAAAACCCCAAATGGAGTCATGAAGAGTAGGACATGACTGAACAACATGCAATACTAATCCAAAGTGATTGTCTTCAAATAGTCCCATTGATTAGGATCAGACGTGATCCAGCTAGAATGATCTGGAAAGCCTGGAAATACCCTTTTCCCTGCAGGACAGCAGGGCAAGGGTCATTCTAGGTGGTAAGCAGATACCCTAGTCTATGACTTGATTCACTGGGATTCCACTGGCTTGAAGATATTTCCAGAATAATAATAATAATTGCTAGCACTTATATAGTGCTTTAAGGTTTACAAAGCACTATATCTATAGATATATAGATATATATATAATACACATACGTATCAATATATATATATAATCTCACTGATTCCCCAAAACAACCCTGGGAGATGGATGCTATTACTATCCCCATCTTACAAATGAAGAAGCTGAGACAGAGGTTAAGTGACTGCCCAGGGTCAGGTCTTCCTGACTCCATGTACAGTACTCTGTCCACTGCACCATCCAGCTCTCCATGCTGAGGCAAGAGTTGAAAAGGTTCTCTCATTTCTCATGCTTGAAACCTTGCTCACACAGCAAAATAGGCCCCCCAAAGCCAGAGATCCTATGTAGTCAGTGGCCAAAGAAATGCTATCAAACTACATTGTCCTAAGATGATTAAAATATGTAGACATGTGCATTCCTCAAATGCATTCCCAACATACCTCCTCATCAGAACATCTCTTTCTTCCTTCAAGACCCCACTTACGCACCACTTTCCACGTGAAGCCTTTGCTGATCCCCTCCCTTTAACTGAAAGTGTGCTCCCTCATAAATTTCCTTGCATTTAACAACTTTGTGTTTATTTGTACTGATTCTCTTTATATTTATTCAGTATATACTTACACACGTCCTTGTCAACCTCATCAGAATGTAACATCCATTTGAGAAGGGATTATTTGATTGTTTTAATTATTTGTCATATTAACCTATTATAATCATTAGCACATGGCACACTACGTGCTTCATAAATGCTTGCTGATTGGTTGTTGATAGAATCACAGAGCTGAAAAAAAAACCTGAGACATTATTTGATATTACTCCTTGATTTTATATACGAGGAAACTGAGGCCCAGAAAAATGAAGGGATTTGCCCATTGTCACGTGGTTAGTTTTACCCCCTCTTGCACTGAATAGGTCCTGAAGAGCTAGTCTCAGCTTGGGAGAGTAGGCAGTAAGAACAATGCGAAGTAAATTAGGGAAGAGATTATTTGTGGCTTGGGAATTAGATAAAAAGAAAATAATGAAAAGAGGGAAGGAAAGAGTTGGTAAGGAACAAAAAAATGCTTCCATTTAGTGAAATGCTTCCATACAATTTGCCTCATGGCAGTAAAGGGGTCTAGGAAGTATGACCGGATACTTCCTGAGGAATTAAGTAGAAGATAATGCTTTAAGATTTTTTTTTTGCTTTCTTTTCCTGAAAGTCACATGAGGTAGAAATTGCAAGTATCATTAGCCCCATTTTACAGATGAGGAAACTGAGTCTTTGAGAAGTAAAGTAATTTGCTAAGGGTCATCAACTTAGTCATGGTTTGAGACATAATTTGATCTTGTGCTGGCCATAGTGCTTCTCAAGCGTGACCTACATGCTGCCCTTACCCATCTCAGCAAGGCTGGTAAACCCTGGAAGGGCAGGGGTTGTCCTCAGGCCTTTCCCCAAATTTGGAGCACTGTTTGACCACTGCTTGTATCCATCCACCAGGGATTTCAGGCTGCATGAAGGAAACAAAGGAAAACTATTACAACAGGTCATCACCCCTTCCCTCCCTGGACTCCTCCCATACTATCCATTTGCCTTCAATCTGGCCCCATAGACTACTCAGTTCTGCTACTTCTGGGGGCCCTAAAGTCCAGGGCTAGAAGGCCAACAAGAACCTGATTATTTGTCAAAGTGAAATGAATCAGATGCCGCAGGACAAGAAGAGCTCCTGCTCCTGTCACGAGCCAGGGAAAGGCCTGAGAGCAGCAGCGTCACACGGAGGCAGAGGATGCAGGCGAACGGCAGTAGCAACAAGAAAGCCCGGCCAACCAGGTGTGCTGGCTCCCCCAGAGTATTTGTTTTGGGGGCCCATTTTAAGGTGGCTACAACCAATTCACAAAGACCAAACCAATAATTCATCTCTGCTGAAATGCAAACTATAGGCAAGCCCCATGCAAATAAATATAAGTTCTAGCAGGAAACAGCTCAGCAGAAGTTAGAGCACCCACCCCAGCTCACTCCAGCTGGCATCTTATTTTTCAGCCAAGTTCATGGCATGCTTAGATAGCTTTCAAAGCAATCAGCTTAAAAAAAAATTATCAAACCCAAAAAGGGTACTCTGAGCTGTATCATCACCTCAGTGCACTTTGGGACACATGCACAAGTCAGAAATGACACTGTTCTCTTTTTAACCAGTTCTCCCAGAACTCTTCCTCCAAGCCATTTCAAAGTCATTAACTCGTGTTGACGTACTAGTGTCACTCCCAGGAAATAGGTCAGGTGCCCAACAGGGCTCCTCTCATTCAAGAGGGGGAAATCAGAGGCCTGGCTTCAACTCTAGGCAGTCTATTAGACTACATGGTTTAGGGTTTTTTTCGGTTGTTTTTCCCCTACAGGAGAAAGATGGTAGAATTTATCTTATACAACTGTGGTTGTACAACTGGAGATACCAGTAAGACTACAATATCAGGCAAACAGAGGAGCACTCCCACCATTTCTACTCCACTCTAGAATTCCAGCCCAGTGAGAAGAGTGGAGAAGCTGCTTTATCTTCTCCTGGGTACACCCTAGAATCCCACCCTAAGTGGGGTCTCCATTGAGATTCTTACCCACTAAAAATATTCAAGCTATCACTTGTTACAGTGAAAAACAGTGCCAGGAGTGAACATGGCTGAACATGAACTTAGTGCCTGATAACACTACTTGGAAATCTCCCATGGTTCTACAGGGAATGATATCATGACCTGCACAAAACGCGAGGGGTTAGACAACCATGTGTCATCTCTCAGGGTAAAGGGATAGCTGGGGAAAGGAAGAAGAAAGACTGAAGAAAGCAAGGCCAAATCCAGATTAGTCTGGTGATTTACTCGATTTTCCCAAGGTGCACTGTAGCACTACTTTAGACAAATAAACAAACAAACAAAACATAAACTAAAAAATAAAGGCACTCCTGAGATGACTGAAGCTCTAATCCCTTAAGAAATGCTATAGAAAATAAGGAAAAGGATGTGGATGATGGCAGTAGATACCAATACAAAGGCATAGGAAGGGTGGAGCACAAACTCACCCCAAGTGAAAATGTGGAGACTCTGAGAGGGCACACAAACCATTAGTTCTCTCTCGCTTCTGAGGAGATCTTCAATGGATAAAGAGAATCAGCAACAACCATGTAGGGTACACCCCATCAGTCACCCTCCCCCATCCCCCACCTGATGTTGTACCATGGCGCTCTTGACTATTCTGAACTCCACTCTCATCATTCAAGGGGGGAAAAAAATCATCATTACTGGCCACACAAGCCAAGAGGAATTTTCCTGGGTCAGAAAGTAGGCCTAATTTTTAAAAATATGATGTGGTATATAGAAGAATGTTCAAGCACATTGGCAACTGTTATTCAGGGCTCCAACTTGGGCATCAGAGGGAAGGAAGGAGAAAAGGAGAGAAGGAAGGAAGGAAGGAAGGAAGGAAGGAAGGAAGGAAGGAAGGAAGGAAGGAAGGAAGGAAGGAAGGAAGGAAGGAAGGAAGGAAGGAAGGAAGGAAGGAAGGAGTAAAGGAGGAAGGAGGAAAGGAGGAAAGAAGGAAAGACAGAAAGACAGAAAGACAGAAAGACAGAAAGACAGAAAGAAAGAAAAGAAAGAAAGAAAGAAAGAAAGAAAGAAAGAAAGAAAGAAAGAAAGAAAGATAGAAAGGAAGGAAGGAAGGAAGGAAGGAAGGAAGGAAGGAAGGAAGGAAGGAACGAACGAACGAACGAACGAAGGTAGGTTAGTTTTCTTAAGCACCTACTATGTTGCTGACACTCTGATAAGAGCTTTACAAGTATTTTCATATTGGACCCTCTCGAGGATCCAACCAAGCTGGTGTTATTGTGGTCCCCATTATATAGTTGAGAAAACTGAGGCAGAAAGAGGTTAAATGACTTGCCCAAGGTCATATAGCTGGCAAGCGCCTGATGCCACATTTGAACACAGGTCTTCCCTGACTCCTAGCCCAGTACTCTGTCCATCGCATTGGAGAGGGGAAATTCAAGGGCCAGGAAGAGAAGAAATGTCTCAGTCAGTGAAGAACTACAGTTCACACCTTCTAGAGGTCTTAATACGGGGTCCACAGACTCCCTGGGAGTCTTGTAAATAGATTTTGGTGGGGTTGGAGTGTGTCTGTGAACTTGTCTTTTTAATATTTTGACAACTGTATTTCAATATAATTGGCTTCCTTTGTAATCCTATGTATTTTACTTTACACATTCTGAGAAGAGGTCCAGGGCTTCACCAGACCGTCAAACGGATCCAGGAGACCCTTGAATTAGAGAATTGAGGACTGAAATAGATATGGGTGAAGCTGGAACTACTCTCAGATCAAGGCTGTTCTCAAGGTGACTGGCTGAGTTATTTCATCTGTTTAGGCTTCAGGTTTCTCCTTTGTAAAATGAAGCCTCCGTCTGTAATCTGTGCCTCGATCCTCCCCTTAATTAGATATGCTGAGCTTGAAAGAGATGAGATCTCTTGACCCAGGTCAAAAGAGCAAGCTCAAGGCAGATTATCTATCTCCTACCAAATAGAAAGCTTCAGCTCTGGAGATATTTTTAAACTGAAGAGAACCCCAGAGGAAAGGACTTGGGGAAACATCTCATACTCATATTGTTTACTGGCCCATGGTTATTCTCCCACGGAGCCTATTGTAGGATAATACTGAGTTTATTCTTTGGTAAAGTACTTAAGTCCAGGCCTTATCAATGTTAAGAAAGCTTTGTTATTATCACCTATGATTGTCCCTTACCCTTCATCTCCTGAGACAATTTCCTTCTGCCCAAGTGTGCTTGGTCCCCACGTACGTCCCTTCTTCTTCAGGGCCCTCTTCTCTTCTTCTTCACCTTCCTCCTTCTGGACAACCGAACTCCGACCCCAGGTTTTGTTGCTTTCACTAGGTGTCACTATGAGAGCCACGGGAGAGATTATCAGGTGAGATCTGGAAGCAAAGTTCCCTTCATATCCATTTCCTGCGTCCCACATTTGGAGGATTCAGAGAAGGAAGAGGAGGGCTGGATGTTTTAGTGGCATGATGAAAAAAGCCTGAATTTGGAGTTGGAGGGCCCTGGGTTCAAAATCATGCCTCTGTTATTTACTACTTTTGTGATACCGAACAAATCTTTTAACCACTCTGGGTTAACCATTTTGTAGATGAGTAAGAGGCTATTCAATACAAGGTCTATGACTTCTCCCATTATAGACTCTTCTTAGGCTGGTGACATACTAAAGTTACATTTGAATTCAATTTCTCATAAAGATGGACAAGATAATATTTAATTACAGTACTTTTCAGCTCTAAATCTGTGATTCTATGATCTAATTGAATACCTATCCCATTGGTGAACTTGTCAGGAAAATAGTTGAACTGTGAGTTCTTGACTATAAAGAGATCCTAAAATCATACTCAAATTTGTTCTTAATTCTCACAGTTACCAATCAAAACTAAAGTGAAATCTGACCAGACATCAGAGTCTGAAACAGCTATGAGGCTTAAGACTTCGGTGGGTTAATCCTATAGGTTGGGGGCGGAGGTGGGAGGGATGTAGGATGGAACAAAGGTCAGTATAAGATGAACATTAGGAAGAAAAGAACCTTAGGTTTTTTAATGGAGATATTTTTAGAGTTTCTATATTTTTATTAATCCTTCCCAGAGAAAACTGACCTCCTTTCATTTCATTCTGTCTCAAATGTTTTTTAAAAAGAGTAGGAATCAAAGGCTTTCTCTCCCTTCTTGACCTATTATTGTAGACCTCTGTCATTTTCCATGTTGAAAAGCATGATTTCCACTGATGCCTTATGGGAAGAATGGAAAATCAAATCACTAGATCACAGAAGTTAGCATAGGAAGGGTTCTCATAGATGATTCTTTAACTTCTTTACCTGACAAGAAAAGAAACTAATCGCCATAGAGGTTAAATGATTAAGGCCTCACAAGTAGGATCATTTCAGTCATTTTTCAGTCATGTCTGACTCTTTGTGACCCCATTTGGGGTTTTCTTGGTAAAGATACTGGAGTTGTTTGCCATTTCCTTCTTTGGCTCATTTTACAGATGAGGAAACTGAGGCAAACAGGGTTAAGTGACTTGCCCAGGGTCCCACAACTAGTAAGTGTCTGAGGCCAGATTTGAAATCAGGTCTTCCTGACTCCAGACACAGTGTTTTATCACAGAGATGCCTTGATAGAATGTAAACTCTTTGGAAGGCAGTGACTGTTCCATCTTTGTCTTTGGAATGTCCAGTGAGTAACACAGCACCTTGCACATAGTAAGGGCTTAAAATATTGTTTGCTGAATCGAATTGAAGGTTTCCCAGAAGCATTAGGGGGTTCAAGACAGTACCAGGAGAAAAGAAAGGAAAAAAGATTGGAGGAAACAAAACAAGCCAAGAGGGGCAGTCTTAGTACTTATTGATACTGTATGGGTTTGAAATGCAGAAATATTTGTCACATTTACTCAGCAGTTAAACTAAAAAAAAAAAGTCTACCTCTCTATTAGCATGGATTGGGGGGAGGGACTGGCAGACTAGACAGAGAGAGGACTCAGTGTTCCCTAGGCAAGGATAATGTCAAAAATTGTCAAAGAGAAGTAGAAACCAAAAATATCTTTAAAGCTCACTTATTTGTTCATGATGTAAGAGGCTATTTGAGGCAAGATCTAAGACTTCTTCCATTATGGCCTCTTCTTAGACTGGGAACACATTGAAGTGACCAAAAAGTGAAAAATGGAGAGAGTGGGAATGGTGAAAATAGAAGGAAAATGGCTGGTATGGGTGTGGCGGTGGGGGCGTATTTATTGTAGAAAGGTTTGTGGATTTTTAGAGGCATGGACAGACAGTTGGCTAAATCACTGAATGACTAGATAGGTCAGAAGACAGCTCCTCTCCCCTCCCCAATCAAAAGTATCCTAGAAAATTCACAGGAGCATCATGGCCTACCCCATGTAAAGCTTGTACACACTGTCTTACACTGAATGGCTCTGAGTCGGGGAATGATGGTGGGACTTGCAGGAGGACTGGAGCCGCTACTGATCAAACTCTTCCTCTTGTCCATGGTTGGAGATGCCTGCACAGTGAATTTGTGCTGAAAATCTAGTTAGAGATGAACATACAAAAAATTCATTTATCAAGATTATTCTATAATCAAATAATCCAAATGAGAATTGAAATTTCCCGGCAGGCCCAAGAGGCAGACATCAGCTTCCTGAAAGACTCATTCTTTCTCTCTTTACCTAAGAAATGTCCTTTTCAGCTTTGTTATCTCATTTCCCTAGGACCTAGAATCTAGAGACATGAGAAAAGGATGAGAAAGAGGAACCTTCCTTTTTGGATTGGATTTCATTAGAGATACCATTATGCCTACTTTAGGTAAGCATCATGGCATCAGCACACGCTATACGAAACTGAACACTTTGCAATATAAAAAAAGCATTGTATTTCACATTTATTCTGGGAAAAAAATCATCCAAAAGATTATCCTCCTCATAATCAAACAGCTCAGCTTTGAACCTCTATTAGGAGAAGGAGAAGAAGCAAACCAACTGTCTTTCTGTAGCTTATGTGGCTTGCAAGAATGAGTCTTACTACGTCTATTAGTACAATCCTAACAGGGTGGAGAATGAATAACACGGGGGATATAGGTCAGAGAGCACGAAGACAGGGACTGTCTGCCAATTATATTGACCTGGGATGAACAGTTCAACTTCCAGTGTTTTCTAAGAACCATGTGCTTACAGAGGCGAGGCAATTCAAGACATATCTATTAAATGGGTACTCAGTGCATATGTCTATGGTGATAACTCAAAGACCTGATTCTTGGACTGCATTTTCTTTCCAGGGTAATGTACTTGGCAAGGTACTGTAGTTTTTGTCAGGGATAGAAACACATGAAATATCCCCTCAGGGAATACATTCCCCCTTACTTGTACTCACATGCTAAGGGGTGACTACCCCAGGTTCAAGGTAACTTGTAAGTCCGCATTCCTAAAACTCATGAGCTCCTACCAGTGTGCTTTTTTTTTAACTAGTTAGCCAACAGACACAATTAGTTCAAATTAAAGGTCTTTACTAAAATTATAGGAACGGTAGCTACAAAAAATTGGTCCCATGAACCTCACTTGTACTTTCCCACAACTACACATAGAGTCAATGGGAAATTCTCTCCAACAGCTCTCACATGCAGTAGGTGTGGGAAGAGTGGACACAAACTTAGAGTAATGGAAAGGCTATTGTTGTTTACCCTTTGTTCTCAAAGAGGACCATGACACCAGTGAGGGGATGCATACGCTGAGGGCACACATAGCCAAAGCAACTCACCCCTTTGGCCCCGTGAGACCCCAGCTTCCTTTCCTTCTCCTGTTGACGCCCTGAGCAGGTTACTCTCCCAGGCTCCTTGAGCCCATTCCTCACTGTCGCTCAACTCCTGATGGTCAGGGCTGGATCCCTTCTCTCACTCCTCAGACCTACTCCTTATAGTCATTTGCCAGCTCTGCTTCCTATCAGGTGTGATGTCTCCAACTAAATCCTACTGCAAGGTACCATGGCCAATGTGGAGAGGGGAGAGGAGGACAGAGATATATCCTACCCACCACCCCACCCCTCACAGATAAGGAACGGTTTTCCCTCTCGTCAGCAGACTTCTTTCAGAGCTGACTCTTTTGTCTGCTGCCAGGGATCACACTCCTCAGAGCTGGTTCCTGCCTTGGCTGAATCCTTAAGACATATCTTGCTTTTAAAAGGGCCACCAGGAACATGGCCAGCCAATGGCTAACTGCCTCCTAGTTTTACCCATTTTGATTGGAAAATTACTTCACACATAAAAGGATAACAACTGTTGACATGACTTTGCAACTTGCTCATATCCTTCATATCTCACTGTCTCTGTTACCTGCTCCTTGTTTTCTGTGATTTTATCACCTGGACTGGGAAAAAAATCAGGGGTCTCTCGATTAACTACCCCCACTGTAGACAAATAAGGCACAGATCCTATCTTCAAGAATTTTACAATCTGATTTTAAATTTTAAAATGATAATTTTAAATTATATTTAAATTAATTAAATTAATGTAACACTATATTAATATTAATAGATGCCAACAATCCCCAATAATGTTAATTAATAAGATTAATAATCATTAACAAACAATAGTTAATAAATAGAAGCATTTATAAAATTTATATTACTTATTTAAATATATTTAATAACAGTGTTTATATTAATATAATAATTAATATGTTATATGTTATAATAATGATGAATTATCGATAAATTTAATGAGGATAATTAATAATAAATTTTAAATTCTTTAAAAATGAAAAAAATCACATTTTGTGTTTTGGTACATCTTAGAAATGAACAAATGTAGTATGTAAATATAGCTATGTCTAGAGACAGTTGTGGTATGCTTATATGCAGTAAAGCTAATTTCTAACAAGTCACACAAGAAAATTAGTCTCATTGCTTTATTGCAACAGTCTCCAAATTGGCGGCTACATGCCCCTGGACAACCATGGACATGCCCCCCAAGGGATAAATGATCAATCCACTGGTGGATGAGAAGATGAGTCACATTCCACTTTGCCCAACATGGACAATCATGGGGCTTCTTTCCAATGCAATCATACCTTTCCCTGTTACCGCCAACATTCCACAACTACATTATTTCCCATTGCTCATTCTCTCTTGTCTGTCAGGTGTTAGTTATGACCTAAGCTTAGCCCAGGAACCCCCAGCAGCAGTTACATAGATTTCATTAGGGAAAATCCCTCCTCCCAGCATACTTGCTCTCTGCCCCCCAGAACACCGTGTGACTACAGCAGGCACCCCTCAGATGGCAGACTCTGTGCTCTGAAGCACTGACCAGTGAGTAAGAACTCCACAGCCCTTTTTTATTTTGGGTGAGACATAGTAAGCATGGATGGGTTGCAATCTGCATCATCGATGTCATTACATTACTTTTCCTCTCTAATTTACACCTATTCCAAGCCTCCTAAGTGCTCCATCAAACTTCCAGTCATCCAGGTTTGCCAACTTAATGTCATATTCACTTTCATTCACCCAGGTTTGCCAACTTAATGTCATCTTCACTTTCACTCACCCCACATATCCAATCGGTTGCCAAATCTCGTTTCTGTCCTACAACTCTCACATTTGTCACCTTCTCTCTGAGATACAGCCACCATCCTAGTTCAGGCCCTGATCACCTCTCATTTGGACTATTATCATGGCCTCTTAATTGGTCTCCCTGCCTCAAGTCTATCCCCACTCCAACCCATCCTTCACAAAACTGCCAAAGTAAATTTCTAAAGTGCGGGTCTGATCACGTCAACTCCATATTCAGTAAATTCTAGTGGCTCCTGATTTTCCCTGGGATCAAAGATAAAACTCTTTTGTTTGTATGTTTAAAGACCTTTGCAACCTGACTCCAACCTACCTTTCCCACATTATTATCTATCACTCCCCTTCTTGTACTCTATAGTCTAGACAAACTGGCTTTCTTGCTATCCCTCTAACCCATACAAAATCATAGCTAAAACATGCAAATATGAATGGGAAACTAAGGTGTGATACAGGCCATTAAGCAGAACCACATAAATAAAGAGGAATGGATTTATACTGAAAACTTTCTGCTGAAATAATCCACTTTTGCTTGTTGATTTTGCACTGTCCATAATGAATTGCTTCATAAAGAGAAATCTAACTCAAGCAGAAGAGCTGTGATTGTTCACTGGCTGTTATGACCTATTATTTGATCATTATATTGGGGACTTTTTAACAAAAAAAAATTATGAAACAACAAAAACAAAAAGAATTTTTCTTGTCTGGCTCATCACATTAATCAAACTAATTAAATGCTCAATTACTCATGAACAATTAGTCTTTTACAAGTCAACTCTCTCCCCCAATACAAAGGGATTTTTCAAAGATATTGAAGCATATCTGATCATGATCCTCAAGAGCAAAAAGAGATCATGTGCCATTGATGAATAAAAATTTTAAATTAAAAAATTATTTCATTTTTATCGCATCCCTTTCAGTTACTAATTTATATGTGTTTCATAATATATTCAGTATATTATTAAATTAGCATTTGTATATGATTTATATATAAATGTATATCCCAGAGTACATGCTTAAAACCTTTTTAATGACAGAGGTAGATGTAGGATCAAAAACTTAATTGTAACACCACAAAACATGTGTGTACATATATGTATATCATATATGCATATATGCACATTAAAACATTACACATTGTATTATAATATTACATATAACACCACATAAATATGTGGGCATATTATGTATGTGCATATTGTGTTGTCTATATGCATATATGTGTTTGTGTGGTGTTATAATGTGCTGTGTGCATACACACATAGCCCTATATATATGTGCACTGCATAGGTGGCACAGTGGATTGGGTGTCAGGCCTGGAGTCAGAAAGACTCATCTTCCTGAGTTCAAATCCAGCCTCAGACATTTACTAGCTGGGTGACCCTAGGCAGGTCACTTCACCTTGTTTGCCTCAGTTTCCTCCTATGTAAAATGAACCCTGAAAGAAATGGCAAACCACTCCAGTATCTTTGCCAAGAAGACCCCAAAAGGAATCACAAAGAGTTGGACATCACTGAAATGACCAAACAATAAATACGTGCATATGTGCTCACATATGCATTATGTACATGTAGGTATACATGTACCTACCAATATTTGCATGCATATATCTACACATACATAAATGTATACAAGTATACGTATAAGTATATATGCACATGTGTATGTACACATATCCTACGTAGGATATATGTATATTTGTATGGTGTTAAAATAAAAGTCTTTAAAATGTATATCATCAGTAAAAAAAACGAGCACATATCCTACAATTTATGCATAAATTATATACAAATATTACTATAGTGACATATACAGTGTAAAACACATGCATATACATACATATGTATATAACTTCGGACTCACACAATACATGCATTTATCTGTATGTATACATACATGTAAACATACTGCATGCACACATACATGTTACACATAGGTTTGCATACATGTATATATGATTCCATATGTATACCTATATATCTCAATGATTAAACATATACTATGGGCTAGGCACAGTGGTAAGTGTTGAGGATACAAAGAAAAAGCAAAAAACAAGTTTCTGCCCTTGAGAAACTTACCATCTAAGAGGGAATTAGCAACTATAAATAAGAAAGGACAAGATAAATACAGAATAAGTTAAAAATCCATAATCTCTCCATGTATACATGTAGAATAGATACTGACATCTTGATATAGGTTTGTATGTGTATTCTTATCTTTTTAGCAGTCTAGTCAGCCATGGGCATTCTGGGCTTTATGTTCTAATCCCTCCTCACCTCTGCCTCTTGGAATTTCCTGGTCTCCTTCAACGCTCACATCGAGCACCGCCTAGTCTCTACCACTTTTAGTGGTACCTTGGCACCTCGCCTATATCTTATTTTTCTTGTTGAGTCACGTCTGACTCTATGTGACCCCATGAACTTTGCCATTGTTTTTTTCCTCTAGTGTGCCCCCATTTTACAGACAAGGAACTGAGGCAAATAGGGATTAAGTGACTTGCCTAGGGTCATATAGCTAGGAAGTGTCTGATGCTAGATTTGAACACAGATCTTCCTGACTCCAGGCTGGGTGCTCTATCTACTGCACCGCCTAGCTGCTGCATATGTGTGTTATCTGTGTTAATATACACCCATATGCATGTACATCCTCTCCCCTCGCCTTCCCCCAAATGAAAATTCCTCAGAGCAGGGAAGGTTTCCTTCTGTTTTTGTATCTCCAGTCACGGGCACAGTGCCTTTGCTTTATTGTTACACCACATAAACATATATGTATAAATTTATGTATATATATGGAAACATTACACAGTGCGGTGTTACATGTAATATTACACGTGACACCAAACATGTATGTATATTTGGATGTGTGTGCACATCACATATATGTCTGCGTAGTGTTATAATGCACTGAAGGTGCCTGGCATCCATCAGGAGCTTAGTAAGTGCTTTCTGATGGATTACAGTGTCTCCTAGGCTTTGTTATTTAGTTGTTTCTGTCACGTCCTGCTCTTCCTGACCCCATTTGGGGTTTTCTTGGCAAAGATACTGGAGTGGTTTGCCATTTCCTTCTCCAGTTGATTTTTACAGATGAGGAAACTGAGGCAAGCAGGGTGAAGTGACTTGCCCAGGGTCACCCAGCTAGTAAGCGTCTAAGGACAGATTTGAACTCAAGAAGATGAGTCTTCCTGACCGGAAGCCCAGTGCACTGTGCACCACGGCGCCCCTCTAGGCTTCAGGACTACCGCGTCACAGACCTGACGGGAGGCTGATGCGATTGCCATCCTTGAGTTTCAGCCGGTTCTTCTTAAATTTGCCCTTGCGCTTCTTCACGCGGGGCTTCTCTTGGCACAGCTGATGGATGATGATGTTGAGCTCCCTCTCCAGGATGTCGATCTCCCGCTCGGCCAGCTCCTGCTCTCGGCGTTTCAGCAGCTCCTCGTGGTTCTTCTGCTGCAGGGCCGCCCGGGTCAGCTCTTCCTCCCATGTACGGAGCTCCTAGCAGAGGCAGAGACAGAGGGAAAGGGTGGACACGGGCAAGTGCGGGTGGCAGAATTATTGACACACGATCGATTAAGCGCTCCTTCTTCACGGTCCTTCACAGCATCAACAACGTTAGCACTGGAAGGGATTTAAAGGTCATTTAGGCCCAGTTCTCCTCATATTTTACAGATGAAGAAACTGAGGCAGAGAGCAACTAAGTGATTTTTTTTCCAGAGAAGCACATACATTTATATCATAAGACAGCAAGGCTAAGTGGATAAAGTGCTAGATTTGTAAACCCCTTTAGGACACAGAGTATTTCATTTTTGTCATTACACGTCTAGCACTTGGCACAGTGCCCAGAATATAAAAGGCATTTTTTTAAAAAAAAAAGTTGTTTGCCTTCTTAAGGAGGGAGGAGGGGAGAGTGGGAGAGAGAGAATTTGGAACTCAAAATATTAAAAAATGAAAGTTAAAAATTATTTTTATATGTAATTGGAAAAAATATATACACTTTTTTGTAGTGGTTGTTGATTGATGGATTTGGATCCAGGAAAACTTGGATTTCTAGCTGTGTGACAATGGCCAAGTCACTTTAAAGTTCCCTGAGCCTCAGTTTTTTCATCTATAAAATGGGGACAGGAATACTTGTAGTACCCACCCAATAAGGTTGTGAAGATCAAATGAAATTTGTATATAATGTAAAGCTCTTTGCAAACTTTAAACCGCTACTACAGAATGTCCCAAAAGTCTGAGTGCAGCTTTAAGCTTTGCTATCTTAAAACTGCAATAAGATTTTTGGGACACCCTGCATAGATATACAGATATATAGATATAGATATATATAGATATAGATATAGAGATAGAGATAGATATATAGATATATAGATACATAGATAGATATAGATATGTAGATATAGATATAGAGATAGATATAGAGATAGAGATAGAGATAGATATATAGATATAGATACAGAGATAGATATAGAGATATAGAAATAGAGATAGATATAGAGATATAGAGATAGAGATAGATATAGATATATAGATAGAGAGATAGAGAGACAGAGATAGAGATAGAGATAGAGATAGAGATAGATATATAGATATAGAGATAGAGATAGATATATAGAGATAGAGAGAGAGAGAGATATGGATATATAGATATAGATACAGAGATAGAGATAGAGAGAGAGAGAGAGAGAGAGAGAGAGATATGGATATATAGATATAGATACAGAGATAGATATAAATATAGAGATATAGAGATAGAGATAGATATATAGATATAGAGATAGAGATAGATATAGAGACAGAGATAGAGACAGATATATAGAGATAGAGATAGATATGGATATATAGATATAGATACAGAGATAGATATATAGATATAGAGATAGAGATATAGAGATAGAGATAGATATATAGATATAGAGATAGAGATAGATATATAGATATAGAGATAGAGATAGAGATAGACATGGATATATAGATATAGAGATAGAGATAGATATAGAGATAGAGATAGAGATAGATATATAGATATAGATACAGAGATAGATATAGATATAGAGATAGAGATAGATATAGAGATAGAGATAGATATGGATATATAAATATAGATACAGAGATAGATATAGATATATAGAGATAGATATGGATATATAGATATAGATACAGAGATAGATATAGATATATAGCTATAGATAGAGATAGAGATAGAGATAGAGATAGAGATAGAGATAGAGATAGAGAGATAGAGATAGAGATAGAGATAGAGATAGAGATAGATATATAGGTATATAGATATAGATGTATATAAAATCATTATTAAATATTTGTTCTAGTGAATAAATCTGAGACTGGTAGTATCAGCTTTAACCTCACCTTCAAAGTTCTTGGTCTCTTGTTCAATCAATATTTATTAAATGCCTACTCTGTGCCAGGCATTGTCCTAAGTGCTGCTACAGGATAATGTTTCCCAAGGGTCTGAAATAATTCTGCTCCATAAACCACCGAGCAGAATGCCAGAGCCCCCATAACTACTCAATGAATTGGTGGTGGTGGTCTATGTTCTCGAAGAGGACCAATGATATAAAGAGCTCAGTGTCTTGATTTGCAGTTGAGCTGAGTTTAATTGGTAACAGTCACATGAACAGGGCTGCTGAACCTCCGGGGCATCATGCCTTTAAGTATCCCTTTTGTCAAATATCATGGTGGTGCCCAATGTACAGAGTGTGAAATTGAGGCAGAAAGAAGTTCCCTAAAATTTCAATGAGTGATTCAGTGATGAAACTTAGACTACAACTTCACACGCATAATTGATTTATCACATTGTTTGCCTTCTCAGTGGGGGGGGGGGATGGGCAGGAGGGAGGGTAAGAATTTGGAACGCAAAATTTTTTAAATGAATGTTAAGAAACTGAGGCTACAATCCAGGAATCTACCATTAGGAATCTTATGTTTTGACCCAAGAATCAGCGATAATTCAAAGAGATTACATTCAAATAAAAAGATTGATTCTCTTGACTAAGGCAGTCAAGAGAACTATCTCCAAATTTGAACTTAGGGTTTCTTGACTTCAGATGCAATGCCTTTCTCTGATAGTTGGCGCCTTGTGGGAACACAGCACTGAAGGCAGGAGGTCAGAAGAATGGCGGAAGATGCCAAGCAAGCAATTCAGTGAGGCAAACAGCCTTAGGAGGCCAGCAAAAGCCTAGTCTCTTAATGATGCCATCAAGAGGGGAAAAAAAAAACACAAAACACTAAAATCTCTATAAAGTAATTTTATAAGATAATTAGGTCCAAAGAGAGAACAAGAGACTTAGTTTGTAAACTTTCTGTGGTGAGACATTAGTTGTTGAAATTTAAATGTTTCTCATAAATCCTCCTTGGCAGGAAACTGGGCCTGAAACATGATAAGGTCTGAAGACAGAAGCAAGATAAAGAAGAGGGAGAACGGATGGGGAATAAAAGACAAAGGAAATAAGAGACAGACCAGACAAGAGGGGAGATGCTATAAACTCTCTGGCTTCTTGTTAGCTTGTCCTCAAAAATAGATTCTCCAAAGTCATCATTTTTTAAAATAATGCTTTCCTTTATTATAGCATTTTTTCCTTTCCTTTTTTTTTAAATTTATGGAATAAAACAAGCATTTCCATTACACAGTATCATAAAAAAGATGATTGCAATGAAATTGCAAATGTATTATGCACAACTTGCTATTCCTTTAAGATATATAATAAAATTATCATGTAAATCTATTTATTTATTATTTTCTTCTCTTCCCCCTCCCAACCCTGTTCTAGAGATGGCCACCATTAGACAAGAGACAGAGGGAGAAGAAGTAAAGGGGAGGATAAGAGAGGAGGAAAAAGAGATGAAGAGGGAGAAAAGGGTGGGGAGGAAGAGGGCAGAGGAAAAGAGGCAAGAGGAAACAGAGGGGAGAGGGTAAAAGAGAAGAGAAAAAGAGGAGGAGGAAGAAGGGAGAAAGAGTGTAGAAAGGAAGAAAAAGGAAAGAATAAAAGAATGTTTTTTTATAAAATCTTTTTCTAAATTAAACATTTTATATATCTTTTCAACGACTTCCTTCTCTGGGGAAATAAACCTGTTACAAATAATTATACTGAGCCCTCCAAATCCTTTGCTCTCTTCTGTGACTCCTTTGCCACAGGAGGAAAAAAAGGATTTGGAAATCACAGAATAATTATGCTCAGTTGGTTGATTTTGCTGCTAAAGGGAAAAGTTGAAAAGTTCAAGATGGTTGCAGTGTCTCATTCATCCCTTTATTCCGGCTGTTTCCTATAAGTGGCAATCGTTCAAGTTTATAAAAGTCCTTTCCCTCTAAGAACCTCACACTTCTCACCTCCACAGACCCCAAGGCTCAATCCCATAGAACCTAAAACAGCAGAGACAGTAGCAATTAGCAGTAGCAGATAGGACCCATTGTTGGCAACGAGGAAGCCAACTGACTGAAGGAGGCATCACTGTAAGTCAACAGCAATACTAGGCAGGGGAGGTACAGTCATTTTACAATCTGAAGTGCAAACACTATACGAGTAAAAGCCTGGTAAGGAGCACTTCCATAAATGGAGTTGCACAGCAACTCAAACCACACTTGTCACATACAGAGCGAGGAAAAGTACTCTCACTACAAGAAGCGTAGAAGATAGATCTTTTCCTTGTTCTTTTCAAATACCTAAAGAACTGTGATTTTATCAGTTTGGGGAAACTCCTGGTGTGGGAACTCTATCCACAAAGGCAGATCACAACTTGTCTTAATAGTAAAGTCTTAAGAAATTGATTAGGCTTGTAGAGACAAAGTACTTTGTCCATAAAATTATACCTACAAATTCACTTTACAAATATGTTCTGTTTATTCAGACACCATGCAATGGTAAAGAATTTCAATTGATATTGCACAATGAAAATGTTCTTTAAAGTGGTGCAATTAGTCACTTCTGAAAATTAGGTTGTTTTTTTTCTTTTGAACCAGAACTTTGATTTCATTAGTCTAAGAAAACTTCACTGAACAACACACTCTGTAACTTGTGGTCTTACAGATCAACTTAGGGGACTTAGAGGTTAGGTCCCTTGCCCAGGGTTACACAGTTGATAAATATCAGAGGCAGGATTTCAACTCAGGTCCTTCTGACCCTACTAAACATCCAAGGTTCATTCCATGCTTTGTTGTTGTTATTGTTATTGTTATTCAGTCATTTTTCAGTCACATCCAGCTCTTTATGATCTCATTTGGGGTTTTCTTGGCAAAGATACTGGAGTGGTCTGCCATTTCCTCCTCTAGCTCGTTTTACAGATGAGGAAACAGAGGTAAACAGGGTTAAGTGACTTACCCAGGGTCACATAGCTACTAAGTATCTGAGGCCGATTTGAAATCAGGAAGATGAATCTCCTTAACTTCAGGCCCAGCAGTCTACTCACTGCAATACCTAGCTGCTCTTCACCATGCTGCCTCCCTTCAACTTGGAACATAAGTGGACAATCCTATAAGGTCAGGCTAACCGTTTCATTCCTGCCATATCTTAGGAAGAAAAAATACATTCTATACCGTTTCAAGCAAAACCTGAGACCTAGAAATTTTCCTCCTCTTTCCTAGGAAAAATCATCTATCACCTTGTAATGAATAAGGAGGTATGCTTGCTAAAGCCAGTGAGATCCGGCCAGGTTTCAGCCATACCTGGGATGGCACACTGATGGGTAGATGTGTTCATATTTTACCTTTTCTTTGGCCCTGAGTTGGTCAAACATCTCTTGAATCTCATGTTTCCAGTCATCCTGCAGGCAGTGGAAGGAGTCCTTGGGCATTTCAAAAAAGCCAGACTCTTCGATGGTGGTGAGTTGGTCCAGGATATTCATAAAAGATGGTCGTGAATGGGGGTCAGGATTCCAGCAGTCTAACCAGGGTAGATACAGATGGATAGACAAAAAGGATGGGAATAGGTAAGCATTACAATTACAATACGAGTTGACCAGGCTTACCCTAAAGCTTCTTCTCATCCTTCCTTCCTGAGACTCCTGAATGAGGAAACTGTTGCCACTAAAATAGCCAAGAATCAGGGAAAACGCTGGTCTATGAAAATTACATTAAAATGATGACTCCTAAGAAAAGGAACAAGGACCTAGAGATGCCCAAAGTCACAAAAATAACATCTAAAATTCAACCCTTGAGTCCTAATTTCCAGACCAATTAACGGGGAAAAAATTAACACAAGGGATCTTTACTTATAGTAGGTATCATAGTAATAGTCCATCATATTTTAAGATGGAGGAGTTCTTGCCTCTATGATCTTATACATTTACACAAAAACACAAGTATATGTGTGTATGGCTGTGTGTGCAGATACACACATATGTGTATGGGTGTGTGTACAGATAAACACATGTGTGTATGGGTGTGTGTACAGATACACACATACACGCACCATACACATCACCCCTGTTATGAAGAAGGTCCAAAGGTTCCCTCTTCCCTCTAGGATAAAACACAAACTCCTGTGGCAAAGTCTCAGCTGGAAGGAACCCAACCTAATCCCATTTCCTCACAGATGAACAAATGTAGGATAAGAGGTATTAAGTGACTTGCCTAGGTCAGCAAATCGGTATTAGAGACAGGGCTCAAACCCACGTTCTAGTGCTTTTGAATCAATGACTTAAAAATTGCTGGACTGAGGTGAAGGGATTCATAGATTTAAAGCTGGAAGGGAATTAACAGGTCATCTAATCCAATCACCTCCTTTGACAGATTTAGGAACAGAGTCCCAAAGTAACTTGCCCAAAAAACATAAGTAGAGATCAGCTTTGAAGTAAGGTCCCTTCACTCCAAATCCTGTGATATTTTCCCTTCATTCCACTACTGCCTTTATATCAGGGCACTAGTGCCAGCTCGGTCACTAAATGTGTGACCCTCCTTAAGTCACTGAACCCAGGGTCTCAGTTTCCTTACCTGAATGACCCCTTCTGGCTCAAATGTTCCACACATTCCAAGTATTCATTCACAGACTTTGCTGCTTACTAAGTCAACCTTTTCTATCATGGGTGGTCAGCTATAAGAAGCACTTAACCAGCTCATGCTAGCAAGGCACAGATTACAAAATGAGTATTATTCCCATTATCCATAGGATTTCCATAGGGATGACTAATATCTAATTTCCTCTGTTGATAACTGATATTATAAAAATTCAGCAATGTCACAGTACTCCCCTACTCTCCTCCAGCCAGGGGGCCACTTACCTTCCATGAGTTTGGTAAAAGGTTCTGGGCATGTAGAAGGAATGGGAAGGGCAAGCTTATTCATGGCAACCCCATAGGCCACAGCTAAGCCATCTATTCCTCGGAAGGGCACTTCACCCGTCAGCAGTTCCCAAAGCAGCACACCATAGCTAAGGAGAGCAAAGACAGAGACTCCATAGGCAATCACATATCAGACTCAAGGCCTTGCCAAACACAGAAAAGGCTCCTCATGCTAATGGAGACCCAATGGACGACATATCATGACTATTATGATTTTCATCATGGTGCTCCTGAATTGTCTTATTGGCAATATAGTACCATGGAAAGAACACTGGTCTTGGAGTCAGAAGACCTGAGTTCTAGTTCCATCATTATCCTCCCTTAAAAAAAGCTTTTCCTTATGTGCCTCTTTTATATGAAATAATTTCCCCCACTCTACTTCTCCCTTTCCCCTCTTCCCAGTGTATCTCTCTTTCTCATCCCTTCATTTCTTCTCAAGATCATCCCAACATAATTGATTCACACCCATGTCCACTGTCTATGTAGACTGCTTCTAACTGCCCTAATAATGATAAGGTTCTTAGGAAATTACATGTATCATCTATTCATATAGGAATGGAAATCGTTTAACCTTATTGAGTCTCACACAATTTTTCTTTCATGTTTACTTTTTTAGGCTTCTCTTGAGTCTTGTGTTTGAAAATCAAATTTTCTATTCCACTCTGGTCTTTTCATCCAAAATGCTTGAAAGTCCTCTGTTTCATTAAATACACATTTTTTCCTGAATACTCAATTTTGCTGGGTAGATTATTCTTGGTTGTAATCCTAGCTCCTTGGCTTTCTGGAATATTGTATTCCAGCCCTCTGCTCCTTTAAAGGGGAAACTGCTAAATCTTATGTAATCCTGACTGTGGCTCCATGACATATGAATTGTTACTTTCTGGATGGTTGCAATATTTTCTCCTTGACCTGGGAACTCTGGATTTTGGTTATAGTATTCCTGGGAGTTTTCATTTTGGGATCTCTTTCAGGAGGTGATCAGTAGAGTCTTTCAGTTTTTATTTTACCCTCTGGATCTAAGATATCAGGGCAGTTTTCATTTATAATTTCTTGAAATACAATGTCTAGGCTCTTTTTTTGGTCATGGCTTCTGGTAGTCTAATAATTCTTAAATTATCTCTCCTCCATTTATTTTCCAGGTCAGTTATTTTCCTGATGAAATATTTCATATTTTCTTCTATTTTTTTCATTTTTTGACTTGGTTTTATTGTTTCTTGATTTCTCATGGAATCATTAACTTCCATTTGCCCAATTCTGATTTTTAAGGAATTATTTTCTTCAGTGAGCTTTTATATCTCTTTTTCCATTTGGCCAGTTCTGCTTTTTAAGGAGTTCTTTTCTTCAGTGAAATTTTGTACATTTTTTTTTTTTTGCATTTGGCTCATTCTGCTTTTATGAAGTTCTTTTCTTTGGTGAATTTTTCTGCCTCTTTTATCCTTAAACCAATTCTTTCTTTTAAGGTGGTGTTTTCTTTCAGGATTTTTTGTGCCTCTTTTACCAAGCTGTTAATTCTGTTTTCATAATTTTCTTGCATTACTTTAATTTCTTTTCCCAATTTTTCCTCTGCCACTCATCTCTTTAACTTTTCCAGGAGTTCTTCCTGGGCTTGGGTCCAGTTAGCATGTCTCTTTGAGGTTTTGGTTTTCGCTGTTTTTACATTGTTGTCTTCTTCTAAGTTTATGTCTTGTCTTCCCTACCACAGCTTTTTATTGTTAAGTTCTCTTTTTGTTATTTGCTCATTTTCCTAACCTATTTCTTGACTTTGAACTTCATGTTAAAGTTGGGCTCTGCTAACCTGAGGATGGGGAGGCACTCTCCCAAGCTTCAGGCTTCTTTGTGCTGTTTTCAAAGTTAGCTCTAGGGGTCTGGAAGTTTTCAGTGCTTCCAAGGTGGTGTGATCCAGGGAGAGGTATGGTCATTGCTCTCCTGCTCTGTGCTCTAGCGTAGAACAGAAAGGGTCCCTCTTCCCCCGCAGCCACAAGCGTGATAGAGGTCCTCTTGGCCTTGGAACTATGACCAGGTCCCCTGCTCTCCTGTAGCTGCAAGTGCTAGTGCCCTTCTTTGCCTTAGAACTGCGACCAGGGCCCCTACTCCCTTGGGACAGCCACAAGGGCTCCTCTCCGCTCCGGAACCGCCACAGAACTACATGTGGGCAATACAGGTGCCAATCAGCACCAGCTGCACCCAGTGCCAACAAAGGGTCCTCCTTAATCTCTTTCTGATCAGTTACTATCTTTGACCCCATTATTGTCTTTGATATGAGAGCTCCCAAAGCTGCTGCTACGGCTATTACAGTATATGCTCCAGACCAGTGGCTCCACTGCTCCAGAATTCAATTTGAGGCGTTATTTAAAAGTTGTTTGGAGGGGAATGTCGGGAGAGTCTGCCTGGGTTGTCACCTCTAATCTGCCATCTTGGCTCCGCCCACCTCTCTCATTCTTTAGCTATGGTTTTCCTATAAGTTGTTGTATGCAGAAGACATGGCAAAGGCCAGTGATAGTGTCCTCATCCTGGCATCACAGACCTTTCCTGAGTAACTCCTAAATTATCTTAGGCCAGAAAAATGTCTCACTCTGACCTTTTGTTGACTCTGCCACTCTAAAATTTGATATGAGGTGTTATTTTAAAGTTGTATGAAGGGGAATGTTTAGAGAGTTCGACTGGGATATTGCCTCTAATCTGCCATCTTGGTTCCACCCCTCTCAATTAAACATAATTTTTTAAGAGAATTTCATTAGCAGGCCAAGAAGGGGAGGGGAGGGGAGGGAATAGGAGGCAAGGAGTAGTGGACATATTGTCAAAACCATCTAACACAGCTAAACTGAGCCAGAAAGCATTCCGTCAGCATCAGACTCCATTTGGATAGTCCTCATCTACAACCTCCAGTACAATGCCAGAGGGGAACGGAAAAATAATAGCAGTTAGAGCTGGAAAACAGCTCATCACCTAATTCAACCCTCTTTTTTTTTACAATGAGAAATATAAAATTCACAGAGGGCAAGTTATTTCCTGGTGGGGAAAAGTGCTTGAGGCATGATGGAACAACAGATATAGCTCCAGCTCTGGGGTCAGAAAACATGGGCTCCTATGGCTCCGAGGCATACTACCAGTGTAACTTTGAGCAAGTCATTTTGAAGACCCTGGGCCCAGGTTTCCTCATCTATAAAATGAAGGGGTTGGACTACGTAGCCTCCAACTGTCCTTCAACCCAATCATCCCCATTTTACAGAAGTGGAAACTGAGATTCAGAATGATCATACAAGATATACAGCTATAGTGAATAACCAACAGTACGAGGATTTGAACTGAGGTCTCCTGGTGCTCTTTCTAGCACATCATAATTACCTATGGCCCAAGACTCAGAAGCTATTGAGATTCTTTGGGGGAGAAGAATGGATTGATTAGTTTACATTAGCTACCTCATTCTGTAATGTCAACAGAAAAGCAGAATTAGACATACAGAGATTCACCTAACATGGAACTATGTTTCTGAAATGTAAAAAGCTGATAACATAACATTTTCTTGTACACAATGATGCTAATGACTTATTGTTAGACTACCTAGTTTAGTCCTCTTAATCTTACAGATTACAAAACTAATCTGAGGACAAGAACTGATTTTTCCAAAGTCACATGGGTAGTAAGAAGCAAAGCTTGGATTTGAACTTATGTCCTATAACTCTACTTCTTTTTACTGTACCACATGGAAAAATCCAACTTCCATTTTCCCCATATCTAAAAAAATAGGAGATGCAAATAGTTGCTTGAAAAAATACACCTCCTGGAATGCATTATGTATATCCAAATAGCAGTAATCATATAACCTGGCTGGATTTTTGTCTTGGGCTTTCAGGCCTGAAACAAGAGTTCTTAATCTCAGGTCTGTGAATTTGTTTTTAATTTTTTTTTAAAGTTCCATTTCAATATAATTTGTTTCTTTTGCAATTTTACATATTTAATTTTAAGCATTTAAAATAATTATTTTAAGAAGGGGTCCAAAGGCTTCACCAGACTTCCAAAGGAGTTCATGATGCCCACAGAAAAGGTTAGGAATCCCCTGCTCTAGAAGCAAGGTGCTGGCCTATATCTCTTTCTAGAAGGCAACCAGCTATCTTCTCTGAACTACAGTGTATCCATATGGTGGAGCAATCCCTGGAAATCCCACTCCATAATGGCAATTAGCTTTGCATGATTTTTGAAGATCATCCATCTGTGTTTGGGTTCTCTTCCAATTGGGGGATCTTATGCACCTAAACAATACTCATATTCTGGAAGGGTCTGGGCAACTAAGATGAACTTAAGAAAACAGCAGCCCCTACCTCCACACATCACTGCCTTTGGAGAACATGGAGGAGCGGATGACCTCTGGGGCCATCCAAGCATAAGTTCCAGCTGCACTCATCTTGGTAGTCTTGTGCCATTCCCGGGCCAGGCCAAAATCTGTGATCTTCAGAATCTTGTTGCTCAAGTCTCCATTCTCAACCTTCTGGAGGATCAATA